ATATGTCGCAAGTACCGTACATGGAGGTGTCTGATTTTGGAAGGCATGCACTCAGTAGAGCAGCCACTGCCTGGAAAATCTCGTACTTCTGCAGTACGGTCGTGGCTCTGTTGCATGCAGAATGGTGGTTTCTGCTGGTCATATTGGAATGGATCCAGTCACCTTGGGACCCAACAGAGGGGCTGTTTCAGCTTCGTCCACGGCACGGTGGAGCCATCCAACAGAGGCGTCGGCGTCCGCAAGACGCACGAGACAAATGGAGATCGGTCATGTCAAAAGCAAGACGTACCAGGCCACCCTGTTTGGGCTTCCCTAGACTTCCGTTCGACCATCAAGAAAAATGATAAAACATGGTTGACCTGGTTTTTGTAGTGTAAAATCCTTAGTTGATTCGGTAAAGCCTACTAAATACATGGTTGGCCAGGAAGCCTAGGGCCCTAACCGCCTTCAATTGTAAGGAGCTACAAGGCCTTAACACCCCTTTCAAGGCCGCCTGGGGTATCGTCACCTGTCCGAAACGAAGCAAGAGATGCTGGTGGTCATGCTGACACCAATCCCAGGAGATCCAGTTACCACTATAGCTGGTAACCAGTGGTTCCAAAGAGTAAAACCATAGACTTAGAATCTGTGGTTCCTTATATAGTGGTAACCGGGATTGACTGGGAATGGCAAACTCACTCACCAGTGTCCGGTTCCACATGTGCCACACGTCACAATCCCGAGCACAGCCTGTGCCACTCGTCAGGTAGGCTCGAAGCCCCAGGCTGTCGTTGTAGAACCTCAGCAATGAGCACGGGACCTGGAGGGTGCACCCTCGACGACATCCAGCCCTTGACGTAGTGCTTCTTTTCCACTTGTGTCCCACGAACCTACATCCTAGAGCTGATCTCAACAGCCTGACCCCACCGCCGAGGGTCACACCTTTTCCCAGCTGCCAAACGCGTGATGCTTGGCACCCATGGCAACCAACCCAGGCCCTCCAAACAACACCTTCCAAGGGGTGGCCAATGGAAGCCTGTGAGAAGATTTCGCAGAGTGACACTCTTCAGCTGGCTCTTTCGCGGTGCTGGAACACAGAGATCACCAAAGAATTACAGTTCGCAAGGGGATCATCCCAAATATCCATGGGATGACAGTTCGAGCTGTTTTCTGCAAGAAAAAGTATCATTGCGAACTGTCATCCACGGGCGAAACATCAAATATCCATTATAAAAACTCGTTTTTCAGCCCAAATATCCATGTGCCACAGTGTCTGGGATGATCAAGTTTCCCAAATATGTGGAAGCCTGTTCCAGGCACAATCTCCAATGTGGGTCACTGAGGGAGGGTCGCATCCGCTTTCTGGATGTGCAAAACGAACAACATCATACCCAACGATGCCCAATGTGCATTTCTGAATTTGATATGTTCACTTTCGCCAAAACACTGCAAGTGTCAAAGGCGCCTTTCCCAATGTGGGTCACTGAGGCTGGGACTGTCAAGTTCATCAGAGAGCAGCACTCAACAAAAGCAAACTCCCCAATGTGGACCACTGAGTCCGGGATGATCAGGCTCGCCAAGGAGGTGCAATTTTCAAAGGCAAAATCCCCTATGTGGGTCACTGAGTCTGGAATGGTCAGGTTCACCAGGGAGGTGCAACCATCAAAGGCACAATCCCCAATTTCGGTCACTGAGTCCGGGATGGTCAAGTTTGCCAAAGAACTGCAGTTGTGAAAGGTGCCACGCCCAATCTGGCTCACTGAATCAGGGATGGTCACGTCTACCAAAGAGGTACAATTCGAAAATGCATAACTCCCAATGCGGGTCACTGAGTCCAGGATGGTCAAGTGCACTAAAGAGCGGCAAGCGTCAAAGGTAAAATCCCCAATCCAATGCACTGAGTCTGGGATGCTCAAATTCTGTAAAGAGCTGCACTCCGCAAAGGCATGATCCCCAATGTGGACCACGGAGTCTGGGATGGTCAAGTTCTCCAAAGACGTGCAACCCTTGAAGGCATAATCCTCAATGTGGGTCACGGAGTCTGGGATGGTCAACTTGGCCAATGTCTGACAACCAAAAAATGCCCGCTCTTGAATCTCAGTTTCATCGCTTGGGACTTCGACTGCAAGCAACAGCACAGAATCTATGACACCGCCCAGACTAGTGATCTGATCTTGGTTGGAGCATCGCACCGCGTTTGATCTAAAAACAACACTCACAGTAGCATCTGCAGCAAGCCCGGCGTCCAAGACCTTCGCGTCATTGGCGAGGAATTGGTGGTCTTGCGGGTCAGTTCATCCCAGTTCGCCTGTCTCTCCTTGACCTGCTGCTTCAGTTCCCACCCTGTCATCTCTGGCGTGACTTCAAGAGTCATGACTTCACCACTCGGCTGCAGCGCTGCAATCCGCTGCGGCGCCATGGCTGGCGGCTGGCGCGACGGAATCCGTCGGAATCCGCGTGGTGCGAACCACTGAGATGATCGTTGCGTGGTGGATGCCCTAGGAGTCCACACCACCAGCAGCTTCCTTTCAGGGTCACCTAGGACAACGCAGCCCCTAGCTTTCATAGGTCTCCAGACAGGGCACCCTGTCGTCAGTGCTCGGCATGTGTCTGTCTTCCAATGTTCTGTGCTTGAAATGGGCATGGCGTTGATCACACCCATCGCGCCTGAATCCACCAACCGGCTTCAGCACGGTTCGGCCCCCCGCGCCGCGGCCGAAGCGCCCGGACGACGGCGGGACGTCTGGGGAAAGGGCCTAGAGGTGATCCCAGGACACTCATTTGATCCGTAGTGGTAGTAGTTCGTCAAGGCGGTCACGGAAGTTCTGCGGCGCCTTCTGATGTCGTCGATGTTTCCCGCTGCCGTTCGTCCGTTGGCAGCGCTCCGAGTCGTGACACCGAGGCAACCACAAACAGAAAAAAGGCACACAGGACGTGTCTCCTGTGTGACAACACGGTGCTTTTCAGACACCATGAGCGGTCTTCTTCCACCTCGCGCTGCTCGGGCCTCCGGCGCGGCGTCCGCCGCCAGGGCGCCGCTCCCGGCGACCTGGAGGCGAGGTGCCGGCGAACGAGCGGAGCGAAGGACACTGGAAGGGGACTGGAAGGGGTGGCAGATGTTCGTCCAATCCAAAATACCATCAATTGACCCCTCCATGCAGGGAGTACCTATTCAACTCTTCCAGAAACATGGAGTGTCCGGGCTTGGATTGGTGTTTCACTGCCGGGCGTCTTCCTGATCCCGCCCTGATCCCGCCCGCGAGTTCAACGAGGAGATAGCTCAACCCAGAGGGCGACCCTAGGAATCGACCTGCAAGGAGGGCCCCAAGGCACCCGGCCAGCAATCCGAGGACAGCTCGTCGGGACCCAGACGGCTCCGACTTGGCCTGTCGAGAGGCATGAAGATCGGTGTCGGACATGCGGTGAAGGGTGGAACTGGTGCATCTATTATGTCTATCCCAACTCAGCTCATTGCTGAATTTCAAGTGAATATGGCTATGGCATGCTATGGCGTTGTTGGTTGATCAGATCCCTCATTGTTTCTGAGTTCAGCAAATGTGCGGAAAGCTAAACCATCCATTTGCCAAACCAATGGAAGCCCTTGGGCCGCCCACTACCATCCGTCTTCTCTCCATTCAACACCCCAGAAGGTCCCAGTTGTCTCGGGTGCTATGGCCATGGCCGCGACCCGCCCAACGAGGCGGGTCGCGGGGCGGTCGGGCCGACCTCGCTGGAGAAAGCTCGCAGAGCTCCTCAAAAAGGCGAGGAGAAGGCGAGGAGCGAAACAAGCCTCACGTCGATCGTCCGAAAGTTCTGACCACAAAGATTACCCTGGAAGTCGTGGATCTGGCTCTGTTAAAATCCTTAGTACAACAATGCAGTGCTTCGGTAAAGACATATAATAAAACTGTAGAAACTGACTGGAGATAATTTAAAAAAACGATGAATTCATGGTTGGCATCGCCTTGCCCTAAGAATCCGAGAAAAAGGGCTGTCGGCAGGATTCTTCGGGGTCCATGCCATTCCTCCCCACCCGCCCTGGCCCTCTGGCCCTCCGGTCCTGGCCCTCCCCCCCTCTGCTCGTGAGGACCCGTGAGGACTCGTGAGGACTCGTGGGCAGTGGGGTGTCTCAGGTGAGACGCCTTGGTCTGAAGAGAGGTGAAGGAGGAAGGGGTCTGTCCCACAAAGCCACGCGCCCTAGGGCGTGGGCCTAAGTCCAGGTCCTGCGAAGTCTGGTCCCCAAATAGAGGTTGAAACGCAGCTCCAATACATTCTGACTGTTGAATTTTATATATATATATATATATTTGGAGATCATGTTTCAGGTGTCCAAGCATCTTTCATTGAATCGCCTGAATGGCGGAATCCCCAAGAAACGTGTATTTTCCAAAGGATGTGGCACGATGAAAACCAGGTCAACCCTCTTCTTTGAATGGTCGAAAACGGAAGGCCAACGGGAAGCCATTCATGAAACGCACTTGCATGACACGACCGCACCGTTCGGTGGGATTCTTGGAGGGAGGGAAAGCGATGTCGGGGTGGATGATTGATTCAAGTCCTACCGGTCCTACCTGTCCGGTCGTTCACGTCTCTAACTGTACCTTCAATCATGTTGACAAATGTAGGCTGTCAATCAATACCCTCCCCTGTATTGACGGTACATGGTATGACTCTCCCCTCATACCATGGCCTTTACCCATCTTCCCGTTCTCGGTGTTCTCGGCTCCTCGGCGGATGCCACGCAAGAGCCGGGCCACAGGACGTGCCATCGCCGCTTTTCAACACGGTCGTTCGGGGCCCGGGGGAAGTGCCCACTTGGATGGATGTGTGTGTGTGTGGTATGGATGTAGACCGGCTTTTGGGTACCTATCAGTCCTGTGTCCTCAAGTTCGTGAAGGCTCACATCTTGCTTCCGCAATCACTGGCTTCCATGAGCCACAAAGATATGGCATCTTCCCCAAGTGCTTCATGATGGAAGGTCTCATGTGCTTCGTGTGCTTGGTCCATGAGGCCTCATCGCACACACGTGAAAAACAAATATCGATGCTCGAGCCGACTCAAGTGCCTCGCGGGCTTCGCGAGTAGTGTCTCAACCGTTTTGTTCCATGGTGCGGATTTGGAACACCTGCAAAGGTGGTCGAAGGAATCTCCACTTCAGAATCTAGTCGCGCTCCATTTGCTGAACGAGGGCCATTGACTCTGAAGGTCCGGTTTCGATCCGCTCCGGGGCGCTCTGGGGCGCTGCATGTCCCTCCAGCAATCCAACCCCCCAACCTACCAAGTACCGAACTGACCACCCTGTTTTTGAGCGATCAACGGTTTCACAAGGGCAGCATATGTACAGTGATGGCACGTGTATTGGGGCTGAAACGGAACATAGCCCGAACTTTCAGCAAACGGCTAAAAAACCCTCAGCTCCACCAAGATCGAAGTGATGTCATCCTGGGCGGGTGTGAACAATCTAGTGGGGACTGAGCTTCGTCGTGGCCGAACAAGGCCTTCCAAGTTGTAGTGTAAATGTTATCAGGTATGTGTGGCCTATTCATTTGTCCCAATGTTTTGTTGAAGCCTAAGGACTCACTTTTGTGGCTGTCTTCGGGCTTGAACTTCTGATTCGATCAACCGAAAACACTGTGTGATGCACAGGTGGGAGCGGACTGCAACAGGGCAGCCACAGCCTCTCATCCAAAAAGGGCAGCTCCCAGCGGCCCGTGGTGGCCATAGCCAGGGTCGTGCAGGCCCTTGTACAGCTGCAATTTTGGGGCATGTAGAAATCACTTTAGAATGCAAGATCTTCCACCACAGCAGAGTCCCACCGGATAACGCGTTGTTTTCACGAGTTGCTGGGCGCCCCAACACAGCAGCCTCACGCAGGGACGGTGCCAACGACACTGTTGAATAAATAGTCCATCCTAAGAATCCGTGTGCAAACCAATGGAAAAGGGCTTTGAGGTCCAAAGACTCTTACGGCAGAAGTGAAATGCGTGTTCTGCCTGCTGAAACAAATCCATCACAAATGTGACAGCGGTGTGGCAGAGGTGAACGGTCAATTCTTCACTGTTTTCAAAACATAAATAGCACTGAGATGTGATTATAGCAGTTCAACGAAGTTTCGCCACGAATTCCCAGCCCTTGGCACTTGGCATAAGGTGTCTTTTCCACTTGTGTCTCAACATCCTAGAGCTGATCTCAAATGCCTGGCCCCACAGCTGAGGGTCACCCCTGTTCTGGCAATCCTCTGAGGCGTGATGCTACTGTAGCAATGGCACCTTTTTGGGGGACAAAGCTCAGCTGTCCATCTAACCAGCTGCACCATCCAAGGGAAGTCGATTTAGTGTCACTGGTGGCAGCAACACTATGCTACACTCTTTACATCTGTTTAGCTGTGGCTCCTTTGCAGGTGCCATCCCAAATTCCCATGGGTCACATGATCCGGAATGGTCAAGTTTACCAAAGATGAGCAATCCTTGAACGCATAGTCCCCAATGTGGGTCACCGAGTCGGGGATGGTCAAGTTCTTCAAAGAGCAACATCCGCGAAAAGCCAGATTCTCAATGCGGGTCACGGTGTCCGGAATGGTCAGGCTCGCCAAATCGCTGCAATCCATAAAGGCACCACGCCCAATGCGGGTCACGGAGTTGGGGATGGTCAAGTTTACCAAAGAGCTGCAATCCTGAAAAGCACCATCCCCAAGGTGGGTCACTGAGTTCGGGATGGTCAAGCTCACCAAAGAGCTGCATTCTGCAAAAGCACAAACTCCAATGTGGGTCACTGAGTCTGGGATCGTCAAGTTCTCCAAAGAGCTGCACTCCGCAAAGGCAAATTCCCCAATATGAGTCACCGAGTCCGGGATGGTCACTCTAGCCAGGGTATCGCAACCCGCAAAGGCCTTATCAGAAATTTTAGTTTCATCGCTTGGGATTTCGACTGCAAGCAACAGCTCCGAATCTATGACACCACCCAGACTGGTGATCGCATCTTGGTTGGAGCATCGCACCGCGTTTGATCTAAAAACAACACTCACAGTAGTATCAGGGCTTACTGCGTCCAAGACCTTTGCATCATTGGCGAGGAATTGGTGGTCTCCGACAACGATCTCAACACCTGTAGTCTTGCATGTAAGTTCATCCCAAACCTGTCTCTCCTTGATCTGCTGCTTCAGCTCCTGGACGCGCGTGTCTGGCTTGACTTCAAGAACAACTTCTTCACCACTCGGTTGCACCGCTGAGATTCTCTTTGCCATAGCCTGTGCACAGCTCACTGACCAATATATACAAATATTATGCGAAAGGATACGAAATGATGGTTGTTCTCATGTTTGTTTCATGGCATCAGAACGATTCAACTTCCCTGTTGTGTGTCACGAATGCCACCTGGTGTCGAAGACATGGAAGACAGGACCAGTTCATGTTTTTCAGTTTTTCACTGCTTCTGATGTTAAAACGGCTCAAAGAAGCATGGGTCGGCAACAGAACATGTCACCTGCAACTCCTGAAACTCTTCATGCCAAACATGTCGCGTCGCCTCCAGGTCCGTGGGCGAAAGCTGCAACGAATTGCAAGCTTCACCTCGGTTCGCCCATCCATGAATCCACCTCTTCCTCCGCTGTGCTTGCGCATGATGCCGCATGTGCCATAAGAACCTCCCGTGACAACAGACCACGCCAGCCAGACCGCCAGGGCCGCACCAGCCAGGGGATGAACGTGGTCCCCAGAAATGCTTGGCCACGAGAGGCCGGTCGCCCTCCACACTGCGGGAGAAGGCCGTGTTCTTGAACACCCATTGCATTGTTTTTCAATTGTGAGTAACTACCTTGTGCCTCCAAACACGACAAAAACGTAGGGTTCATCCCAAATTTGTAGGGTTCAGATACTCAGGGTAGTTTTTTTTCCAAACATGTCCTATCTAAAGAAAGTCTCTACAAACACGACCTGCAAGTTGCTCCTTACTCTGACAAACAAACATAAATTAGGTGTGCACGTGCCGCACCATGGAACTGATTATGAGGCTGCTCTGAGTCTTGACACCAAGGCTGGCCAACAAGATATCTAGATGTACTTCTTTGGTCCCAAAAGCACGACCAATCTTCCCCTACTAAGTCATCTGATCTCCGGTCCCCCCGGTTGGACACGGTCCGGACGTGTCCTCCCGGTTTCGATGTCCGAAGCTCTCTCCGCTGGGCCACCGCGGCTTCAGATGCTTCACCGCCCAGTTCGGCGACCTGGTCCAGGTGACACGGGCCCTGCCTCTCGGTGTGTCATCTTCGATCCCACAACGGGATCAGCTCGGTGTGCGACTCCCCCAACTCATCCCATCCCATCCCCACTTCCGAATCTGTCGCCTCCTCGGCTCTGTGCGCAGCCGGGCCATGGTGCGCGAGGTGCGGCGGGCACGGCGGCAGAAGGCGGGTGATTTCGGCGCTGGAGGTGGTAGGGTGGTTCGGCGCAAAAACAAGAGATGTATGAGTTTCCTGCGGCTTGAGGTCTGCTGGCTGGAAATCGACAACTGGGTGTGCCCAGTGATGTCCAGTGGCGCATTCTTGGGAGGTAGAATGGCGCCAGAGCGCAAACAAATTCCACTCTGGTGGCGAGTGCCCATAAAGACCACCATCTAGAGACACCACATGCTTCGTCGTCGTTCACATCAGTTCCGCAAACAAATATACGAGCCTCTGGTGAGTAAGGATGTGTGCCTCTGATGAGTTTGGATTGTAAGTACACGAACTCCTAAGTCACTCGAGGGTATATGATGAAAGGCATGGTGTGCCGTTCTTTGGAAGTGAATAGCTTGGATACTTGGCACAGCTTTCCGCCGGATCCGTCCAGTGTTTCCAAGCTCGGCTCACATCTTCCGCAATCACTTGGCTTTTTTTTCTCTGAGCCACCAAGCCTACGGAAGATGCTCCGCAAATGCTTCTTTTGCTTCGCCCAACGACCCATCGAGGCCTCATCACCCATGGCTCGGGAAACACAGATGGACCGATGCTCGACTTCCTTCAAGTGGACCGATGGAATCTTCACATGCCGACGCCACCGCGAAGATTCCCGCGCCCGGTTCCAACGGTGCCATCCGGACGTTCCGAGCCGTCCGACTTCGGACGGTCCAAAGGAACATCCAATGTGAATCGGTGTGCCGTTGCTTGATGGAAACAAAGAAATCACCAAGCTGGAAAAACCCTCCTGCAATTAATTGATCACTCCCCGCACAACCTACCAAACACGGAACCCTCGGACCTTTTCAAAGCGATTCCTTGGCGGATTAGTGCAGCAAGCTGTCCAGGGCCATCAGCGCTGCACAGCAGCTCACTGAGATTGGGATTGAAAGGGACATGTGGCGGATTTCCGACCCTCTGAAGTCAAAAACATTCCAACAAAGGTGGAGAGTGACCTGAACTAGGACCCGGAAAACCTGGGGTACCCAACTAGGATAGTCTAGTTCGGGTTCTTCAACCTCTGTTGGTTGCTGTGTGTTGGTCTTGCCGGGTTCAAATGGCCCTGTAAAGAAATGAAAGAGATGGAAGACGTTCCTGGCCCAAGAAGGCGTGAAAATGTACAAGCGTCGTCTGTTGCACAAACTTCTTGGATGCAAACTGAAAGTCCGTGTCCAGCTGCTTGTTGTATTCATTTATTGTGTAATACCTTCTGCGGAGATAAGGCGTCCGATTCTGTGTTGCAGCCATTCAGCCGTCGACTTCCAGTGGATGCCGGAATTCCTGCCACCCCAGAATAGCGATACACGAAGTTTGTGCCCCGCCAGCAAAGATCCGGGCCTGCAAAAGAGTAGGTTCCGGACGTGATCCCACGATCAACCAATCCTACTTGTGAACCATCATAGGTGTCTAACAAAAAGTTCTACGACGAAGTCATATGAACATTCGATCCCAGTAGTGAGAATTCTATCCAACTACAGTAATTATATGTAATTATAACATACTAAATACAACAAACATCAACAAACTGTATGCAATAACTGGGACCTAGAAAAAATGAAGAGTGTCCAATGGTATCCATGAATACAGTAACTCCAAATGATATCGATGCTTTTGAAGGCCTCTGTTCACCACCTCACGCGTCCTGGTACATGCCTGTGTCCCAATATCAAGCACAATGAAGATGCGTTCCACGATGCGATCCATCAACAGGTGGCTCGCATTGGCTCGCTGTTTGTTCAGTCCATCTGGAGCAAAGGCCCGATCAGGTGTGTCCACGGATTCCAAGCGAATCTGAGGACAGCAACAGATCCTTCGTCCATTCCAAGCAGCCAAGCCAGCTGGGCCGCTGGGCCGCGGTGTCGCCCGCGAGGTGTCGCTCGTCCGGAGACCAATGGGTCGGGTCGGGTCGTCTCATCTCCACAGGCGCGAAAGAGCGAACAGGGGTCGGACTTCCAGGGGGGTTGACCTGTTGATCAACAGGTCAATCCTCACATCATCACGGATCACGAAGGTCCGTTGAACCTTGATCCATGAAATCCCAATGCTGGGTGGTCCGTCGACCCGACCCCGCCGGTCTCCGGCCGGTCCCAGACCTGGTCTGCGGGCGCTCCGGACCGGCCCGTCTCCGTGCGGAGGTCCCGGTCTGCGGGCGCGCCTGGGCGGGGGTCCAACAAACAGGCCGGCGCTGGTTCGACAGGTTCCCAGAGAGGGGACTTCACAGCCCTGTCGCCCATCCCTGGTCTGTACCACAGACCAGGGTCCGAACGTGAAGCGGTCTCCACCAAACCTCTGGTTGGGGTTGCGGCAGACGATCCGAACCTCCGCGACCTGACCCTGGCAGACGACCGGCCAGAGTTTGACCTGGTGACCTGGTACCATGGGATGGGGTAATTAGGGGATCATACAGTACAGCGGTAGACTTCCACTTGGTCTGCTCAAAGGGCACTCTTGGGCAGGCGTGTCGCCTGGTCCGGAAGCGAGAAACGAGAAAAAACGGAAGGACGAACGGTCTGTTTGAAGCAGGTCACCTGGCTCTTCATATCCAATGAACCATGGATCACATTGGATCACGGGACCCTTTCCAAGGACCATGCGGGAAGCCTTCCACCAACCATGCCAGATGTCGCTCCGACGAGGTCGGTTTTTCTCGCTCGCTTCTGCCGGCTTAGTGGTGTCAGCTTCACCGGTTCCGAGGGCCTTTGGTTCCCAAACAGAGGTGAAGTGAACTGGGAATACCAGGGGTACCCAACTAGGATAGTCGAACGTTCGGGTTCTGACCCACCTCTGTTGGTCCCTACTACTTGTGCTTTGCCGGCCCAACCACTGCCTGCCGGTGACCGATCCGTTAGGAGCCGCCTGACCCATCCAGTGGAGGTGACAGCACCCCAGGAGAAACTCTCCCATGGTCGGCTTGTCGGCCGAACATGGGAGCTGGAAGTAGACACGGTGGGTGTCACCATTTGAAGAAAAGCGCCCCCTGGAAGAAGGAATTTGGGCCAAGTCTAATCAGTGGGGGCTAAGGGTGTCTCCCCTGTTAAACTACACAAACATGTCTCTTCTTCCGGAAAATCAGCTCACCCGAACTCACCCGAACCTCACAACACCTCGCCGCGGTTGCTGCTTTTCCCCCGATGCTCGACCGGTTGCTTTGGACTGAAAGATGTAGGGACGGCTCTTACTAACAGGGTTTGGATGGTTTCCTACAATATCCTACAATGCATCTCCAACCTGCTGGCACCAACTCGAAAAAAACACACTGAAACATGCAGTCTAACTCGAGCCACGGCACCGTCCTTGCGGTCCGCCGGCGGTCGCTCAGTTGGTCCTTGCCGTCTGATCCGCCAGGACGTCGGTCAGTCGGGGGTTGGGTGAGCCACCCCAAACCGAAACCATGACCCCTACGTGGATCAAACCCATGTTTGGACCAAGACAGGTGCCACGCAGGGCACCCCCACCTGGGGCGTCCCAGGTGTTGGTTGAACCGCCTTCCGAAGTCACCATCATGTCTGTCATGTATCTAGCCACCTGTAACCTAGGAAACTTTAGGCCGGTCATGGTGATCATCCATTGCTTCAGCCATCTTCAGCCTATGGTCGGACCGCGGCCAGCAGGCTTGGTTGAAGTTTGAACCTTGAAAGCATGTTTTGGTTCGGGGTTGAATCCCGAATCTCCAGTGACCCTGAACCATCTGGGTGGGAAGAAACCATCCCAAGAACACAAAGCATGTGGAATCCTTCGCACAGAATTGCAGTGGATGTGGACATCAACAATATACTATACTGTAGCCGCCCCTCAGAACTATTGGCTCCAATCAAAAGTGAGTACTTGTTGGCCTACTACAGTACCTCCTATAGTCCATACCACCAGGGAAAAAAATACTGGTGAAACCGTCCAACACCCAGGTCTTCCTCACGAACCCACCTTCAGCACAGTCCTCAAAGGCGTGTAGTCATGCCGCCGCAAGGCAATCGACAAACCTGTCGGAGCTTACGTCCAGATCGGAGACCAGATGCTGTCCCCCCAACAGCTCTGGTTGGATCCCCGAAATGGATACCAGATGCGTTCCCCTCACTTTGAAACTGTGACACCTTCTCTACAACGTCGCCCAGTGGTGGTCAATGAGAAAAACGTCGAACATCCAGCCGGATGGCTGAACCATTGCTGAATAGTATCGAGTTTCGGAATTGACCGCTGTTTAGAGAGTTCTGCAATAAGTACACCAGACCATTGGTATCGGTATTTGTCCACGTTTCGTGTCGCTTCCTGACCCAAAAAGAAAGGGAACCTCGAGCTCCCGAAGCCCCAAGGATCCAACCTCGGAACCAACGGACCACCGCGGCTTCCGAACCGCCCGCGGCTTCCTCGCCTGGCAGCTCCTTGCGGATGTCGTCCGGATTCCTGCGGACCCGACGGGGAGCCCGGTGGAGGCGGGGCCAGGTGGGCCCTTGGTCTGCCAAGAAGGCGAAGGCAGTCGAGGAGTGATTCGGAGGTACCAGCTGCGTCACCGGGCTGCTTCCGGGGTCACCGGAAGCTGGATATCTCCACACTACGTAAACAGGTCTCCAGACAAGGCACCCGGACAGGAAGCGCTAGGTATGTTTAGGATTGTTTAGATTTATTTGGGATGTGTGACCCGCTGGAACCCCCCCTGGACAGGG